CCTATTTTAAATCTCAAAATAGCACCTATTGAGGTTCTGTCCTCCACATTTGACATATGGGTGGGGGAAGGTAAGTGGGGGCTTGGGATGTCTGGTTATAACTCATCAGAGAACTTCATAATTGTCATTGAGTACATTTTCGAACCATAGGACCCAAGCCCTCAGAATTCAACACACCAGCTATGTGAAATCCAAAGGCGTGAGCAGTGTCCCCATGGTGGTTCCTCAACCTCTCTTTCCCCCTGCCTTAAAACGTTTTTGCTTCTGTTGATTTTAATTGACAATTCTGGGGCCTGGATGTTGCCGTGGGGGTCCTTGTGAGCCTCCTCTGTGAAAGACTGGGTATGGGGTACAGGAATTTGTAGCAAACTGAGTCAGAGACCATTCTGAGTATGGCGGATATAGCTAATCTACTAGCGCACCCTTGTGGTGGTTTGGCTGTCTGCATTAGAATACTTTATTGCATGGAGTATTCTCTTCATTTCCAATTTTGAACCATAAAAATAATAATAACGTTGACGCTGCCTGAAGAAGACTTTTGCAGTTAAAACGCGTTGCATGCATCCTGATGTCTTGTAAATTATAGGCTATATATCACACTATAGGCTATATAACCCTATAGGCTATACAGTTGAAGTCGGAAGTTTACATACACTTAGGTTGGAGTCATTAAAACTCGTTTTTCAACCACTTCAAATTTCTTGTTAACAAACTATAGTTTTGGCAAGTCGGTTAGGACATCTACTTTGTGCATGACACAAGTATTTTTCCAACAATTGTTTACAGACAGAATATTTCACTTATAATTCACTGTATCACAATTTCAGTGGGTCAGAAGTTTACATACACTAAGTTGACTGTGCTTTTAAACAGCTTGGAGAATTCCAGAAAATTATGTCATGACGTTAGAAGCTTCTGATAGGCTAATGGACATCATTTGAGTCAATTGGAGGTGTACCTGTGGATGTATTTCAAGGCCTACCTTCAAACTCAGTGCCTCATTGCTTGACATCATGGGAAAATCCAAAGAAATCAGCCAAGACCTTAGAAACAAAATTGTAGACCTCCACAAGTCTAGTTCATCCTTGGGAGCAATTTCCAAACGCCTGAAGGTACCACGTTCATCTGTACAAACAATAGTACGTAACTATAAACACCATGGGACCACGCAGCCGTCATACCGCTCAGGAAGGAGACGCATTCTGTCTCCTAGAGATGAACATACTTTGGTGCGAAAAGTGCAAATCAATCCCAAAACAACAGAAAAGGACCTTGTGAACATGCTGGAGAAAACAGGTACAAAAGTATCTATATCCACAGTAAAACGAGTCCTATATCGACATAACCTGAAAAGCCACTCAGCAAGGAAGAAGCCACTGCTCCAAAACCACCATAAAAAAGCCAGACCACGGTTTGCAACTGCACATGGGGACAAAGATCGTACTCTTTGGAGAAATGTCCTCTGGTCTGATGAAACAAAAATAGAACTGTTTGACCATAATGACCATCGTTATGTTTGGAGGAAAAAGGGGGTGCTTGCAAGCCGAAGAACACCATCCCAACCGTGAAGCACGGGGGTGGCAGCATCATGCTGTGGGGGTGCTTTGCTGCAGGAGGGACTGGTGCACTTCACAAAATAGATGGCATCATGAGGAAGGAAAATTATGTGGATATATTGAAGCAACATCTCAAGACATCAGTCAGGAAGTTAAAGCTTGGTCACAAATGGGTCTTCCAAATGGACAATGACTCCAAGCATACTTCCAAAGTTGTGGCAAAATGGCTTAAGGACAACAAAGTCAAGGTATTGGAGTGGCCATCACAAAGCCCTGACCTCAATCCTATAGAAAATGTGTGGGCAGAACTGAAAAAGCGTGTGCGAGCAAGGAGGCCTACAAACCTGATTCAGTTACACCAGCTCTGTCAGGAGGAATGGGCCAAAATTCACCCAACTTATTGTGGGAAGCTTGTGGAAGGCTACCCAAAACGTTTGACCCAAGTTAAACAATTTAAAGGCAATGCTACCAAATACTAATTGAGTGTATGTAAACTTCTGACCCACTGGGAATGTGATGAAAGAAATAAAAGCTGAAATAAATCATTCTCTCTACTATTATTCTGACATTTCACATTCTTAAAATAAAGTGGTGATCCTAACTGACCAAAGACAGGGAATTTTTACAAGGATTAAATGTCAGGAATTGTGAAAAACTGAGTTTAAATGTATTTGGCTAAGGTGTATGTAAACTTCCGACTTCAACTGTATATACCACTTTAGACTATATATACCACTTTAGACTATATATACCACTATAGACTATGTATACCATTATAGGCTATATATACCACTATAGGCTATATATACCACTTTAGACTATATATACCACTTTAGACTATATATACCACTATAGACTATGTATACCACTATAGGCTATATATACCACTATAGGCTATATATACCACTTTAGACTATATATACCACTTTAGACTATATATACCACTATAGACTATATATACCACTTTAGACTATATATACCACTATAGACTATATATACCACTATAAGCTATATATACCACTATAGGCTATATATACCACCATAAACTATATATACCACTATAGACTATATATACCACTATAAGCTATATATACCACTATAGGCTATATATACCACTATAGACTATATATACCACTATAAGCTATATATACCACTATAGACTATATATACCACTATAGATTATATATACCACTATAGACTATATATACCGCTTTAGACTATATATACCACTATAGGCTATATATACCACTATAGGCTATATATACCACTATAGACTATATATACCACTATAAGCTATATATACCACTATAGGCTATATATACCACTATAGACTATATATACCACTATAAGCTATATATACCACTATAGGCTATATATACCACTATAGATTATATATACCACTATAGACTATATATACCACTATAAGCTATATATACCACTATAGGCTATATATACCACTATAGATTATATATACCACTATAGACTATATATACCGCTTTAGACTATATATACCACTATAGGCTATATATACCACTATAGGCTATATATACCACTATAGACTATATATACCACTATAGGCTATATATACCACTATAGGCTATATATACCACTATAAGCTATATATACCACTATAGGATATATATACCACTATAGACTATATATACCACTATAGGCTATATATACCACTATAGGCTATATATACCACTATAGACTATATATACCACTATAAGCTATATATACCACTATAGGCTATATATACCACTATAGACTATATATACCACTATAAGCTATATATACCACTATAGGCTATATATACCACTATAGATTATATATACCACTATAGACTATATATACCGCTTTAGACTATATATACCACTATAGGCTATATATACCACTATAGGCTATATATACCACTATAGACTATATATACCACTATAGGCTATATATACCACTATAGGCTATATATACCACTATAAGCTATATATACCACTATAGGATATATATACCACTATAGACTATATATACCACTATAGGCTATATATACCACTATAGGATATATATACCACTATAGACTATATATACCACTATAGGCTATATATACCACTATAGGCTATATATACCACTATAGACTGATATTCTCCTTCTTATATGTATTCTTTGCATATATTATCTGTAAATGGTTTACTATAGTGTTCTGCATCGTACTGGCAGCCTACTTGTTTTCATTTTGTGGACAATATCCATTTTATTCTGAGACAAATAAAATGCCTAGGTCTATACAGAAGCTCATATACAATCTGATTCAATCATACATGAACCATTACATAGGTATAACATGTGGGGTAATACTTATGTAATTTCCTTTGCATTTCACCTTCAATGTACATGTACTTTACTCTGTAGGAATAGGACAAACAGCAAACAATTCAAGAAAATTACCTATAAACAAACAACCTGTTCTCCTCTGTAGCTCAGCTGGTAGAGCACGGTGCTTGTAACGCCAAGGTAGTGGGTTCGATCCCCGGGACCACCCATACACAAAAATGTATGCACGCATGACTGTAAGTCGCTTTGGATAAAAGGGTCTGCTAAATGGCATATTATATTATTATTATTATTACAGTATAAACTGGGTGGTTCAAGCCCTGAATGCTGATTGGCTGACAGTATAACATGTTCTACAGTGTAACATGTTTACCACCAAGCTTCTCTTCCTATGAGAAGCTGCAAGCAGCAGGTTCTTTGTGTACTGATCAATCTTTCTAAATAGCTATCCTTTACTATAGATCGGATCAACTAGACATCTAACTATAACATAGACCTAGACTAGACCAGCTTAATATCTAACTTCATAATTGATTTAGGTCTAGGCCAACTAAATTAAACCAATCATACCAACTAGACGTCTAGCTAGTCTTTAGTATATCAGTATCCAGACCAACTTACTTGGCCTCTATCCCTAGATCCAGACCAACTAGACTTAAGATCGTGGCCAACTATAGGACCAACTAGATTGTAGAAAGCCAGAGTAGCAGTCTGTTTGTGCTATCGTACCAACGCTTTGTCACTCATTGTCATGCCAAACATGTATGGCTTGACAATGATAGCAGATCTGAGACCAGGCTTGCTCTAATCTAGACAAAATACTAACAACATGTCTAACTAGACAATAGATCTAAAACAAGTAGTAATAGTTGAAACAAGCACACACATTTTCTGAAGAAAATTGACCTGTTACTGTTTAAAATATAGATTTGGGTGTTAGAAATAGAAGTAATACAAAAGTAGCCTAATCTGATTCCTCTAAAATAGTAATACATTAAGTAAAACATTTATTTCCACATAACTGTACTTGCAATAATATATTATAATATTTTTATATAATATATTGATATTTTTATGTTGATTGATGCAACTTTTATTTTGAAAAAGCGTTCTACGGAAGTGAGAGTGAAAAACCAGTAGGATTCACGGATATCATTAGGGATTTTCCTTCTATTAATTTTTTTATTTCGAAGCTGCTTTGCCTCAAGAAAAACAAGAGGACATAACTACTTTAGCTAGCTAACAAAACACAACCCTGGCCATGTCTGAGACATACGGTAGGAAATCTTGACTAGTAAGGTCGCATTACAATAGATATCCAGAGGCGACGATGGAGCAGGTGTAACGTTATTGCAATGTCTCCATCAAAACAAATAGCCTATGCTAGCTAGCTAACGTTAGCGTTTCCTCGTTGATGGGGGTATAGCTTTAGCTAGATAGCTTGCATCTCTGTCAAATGTCATCATTAGGTAATTGGTTTCTTATCTAGACAAACCTCTGCATTTCAGAGAGCTACAGTAGCTAACGTTAGTTAACTAAGGTTAAATGTCGGCGCAAAAGCAGCTAGCTATACATGAAGCAAAAAATAGCGTTCAGCTAACGTAGCAAGCTGATGAAGCAGGTGCTTTGCTGCTGGATGATTGGCATTGCTAATGCGTTGTCTGTGTACCGTTACCTAACTAGTTAACTAGCCTAATGAATATGCATTATCTAATGATGACAATGAATATGAAATATGAATACAAATTAACTTTGTTTGTTTTCCCTCTTCTAGATTTCCTGTTCAAATTCCTAGTGATTGGGAATGCAGGAACTGGAAAATCATGTCTTCTTCACCAGTTTATTGAGAAGAGGTGTAAGTTCTGTCCAATTCCTGGATTGTACTGACATGTACTTCCTATCTAGTTAGCTATAACATGTATTTGAGGGACAAGCTACACTTTATGGTTAAAAGAGCCTTGAATCAATAAATATGTTGTGATCAAATTATGTGTTGTGATATTAACATGAAACAATTTAATTTAAATCGCAGTCAAAGACGATTCTAATCACACCATCGGAGTGGAGTTTGGCTCAAAGATAATCAACGTAGTGAACAAATATGTCAAACTCCAAATCTGGGACACTGCAGGACAAGAGAGATTCAGGTACGATACGAGACAGCATTTCACACACCTACTCCTACTGTGGCAGGGCATCAGACATTTTTCTCAAACCAGCTTGGACCGTTTAATCTCCAGCCGATCATTAGAGAACTGGTGCCAGATCCTTGGAACAGTAAGTGAGTAAATAATGGCCGATATGGGGGACATACTAAAGCGGAGCGCAGCTGAAATTTTTATGTGGGGGAGTTACTAATGTGGAGCGCAGCTGAAATTCTGATGTGAGGGCGTTCCTAATGCTGCTATGTATAGCTATCTATAGTTAGAGTAGGAGATGGAGAATGTCACATTTTAGAATGTCAATTTTAATAAATGCAATTTTGATGTGTAAAATGTTCCAATTGGTACAATGATGTATTTCAAAGTGATGTTAGAATTGCTCTTCTCTCCCAGATCTGTGACGCGGAGTTACTACAGAGGAGCTGCAGGAGCGCTGCTTGTGTATGACATCACCAGGTAAATGACCTACACATAGGTGATCAGGAGTGTGAGGATAAATAATCCATGCTTTATTATGGGTGGACCTTCAAGGGGTATGCTGTCATCCATCTTTGTGAATAAACAAAAGAAATGTTTCTAAAAAAGACAAATATTGAATTGAGTACATGAACACGACTCTAGGGGGCCTAGAGTCATTGGTAGCACAGTGGCTCCCATCAACCTTTTTGGAAAACACTGCTCTAACCTTTCTAAAGTCAAATTTGACTTCACATCTGTGTGTCTTCACTGCTCTCCTCCTCCTCTGTCTGTCTATCTATCTATCTATCTATCTATCTATCTATCTATCTATCTATCTATCTGACCTCATCGTCCTCAGCCGGGAAACCTACAACGCCCTGACCAACTGGCTGACAGACGCCAGGATGCTGGCCAGCCAAAATATTGTCATCATCCTGTGTGGTAACAAGAAGGACTTGGACGCAGACAGGGAGGTCACCTTCCTGGAGGCGTCTCGCTTTGCTCAGGAAAATGGTGCGTTTAGTATGAGTGATGATCCCTCTTAACGCTGAAATCTAAGGGCTGTATGTATCAACCGTCTTAGACTGGGAGTGCTGATTTAGTAGCAGGTCCTCTCTATGTAATTTTATTCATTGTGATCAAAAAAGCTAAACTGACCCTAGATCAGCACTCCTACTTTAAAACGCTTGATACATATCACCCAAAATGTAGCTCCTACCCTCTAAACACTGCCCGTAGACCTGAACGTCTTGGAATTCCACAGATGGCAAGGTGAAGAAATGACCATAAGATCCTAATTTCTGCTTGTTTTCCATGCCCCACTAGAGGTCACTGTAGGACAACTCACTGTGTGGGAACTAGTGCCCACAGAACCTTGGCAGTTTCATGTCCTCCACAGCTAAATGCTGACTTAGGGCTCTATTCAATCCGTATCACAGAAGTTCAGCGTTGCAGCGTGATTTAAGTTTAAAGGCAATGTTCCCGCATTAGCAGTTACTGTATTCATGGTGAGCACTGCACATGTCGGCTAATTCAGAAATTAACTTTCCATTTCTATTGCGCAATCTGTAACGCTTCAGTTTTACTTATTGAATAGAGCACTAAGGCGAATTCTCCTGGGTTTCATATCCATCAATGATAATCAATGTTAATATTGTGTCCTGCTGTCTTGTCTGTTTCAGAGCTGATGTTTCTGGAGACCAGTGCTCTGACAGGGGAGAATGTGGAGGAGGCCTTTGTGCAGTGTGCCAGGAAAATTCTCAACAAGATAGAGTCGGGTATCTGTCGGCTATCAGTGTCTTCTCACCTTAACCAACAGCAATGAAAGTTTACCAGCTGAACTGTTTCTCTCTCTCTTTGTATCTCTCGCTCTCTCTTTCGATCTGTCTCTATCTATCTATCTATCGGTCTCTCTCTCTCTCTCTGTTCTCTTCCAGGAGAGTTGGACCCGGAGCGGATGGGATCAGGGATCCAGTACGGAGACGCGGCGCTGCGACAGCTGCGCTCCCCTCGCAGGGGACAGGCCGAGAGCGCCCAGGAATGTGGCTGTTAGTGAACACGCTCAGTGTGCCCAGATCCAAGGTGAGAGACTCCTCCCCCTTACTGCTGGCTGCCTACTGCAAAGGGTTCTGCTCTGGGACTTGCCCTGGCGTTACCACACTAATAACTCAATAAATAGCTCAGTTTAGTGACATCCAAACTGCTGCCTGTCAAAATAGCAGGCACGGATACAGTTGTAATCATAGATGTTGCTTTTCACATTCACATGTTATATAAGAGGCCATTCAAAAGTCCTCTCCATTTTACAGTTGAGGCTGTGTTTCATTGCATGGAGCAGGTGAAGCATTAATTTGTCATTTTGAGATGCATATCCATGAGCTTTAAAGATTTGTCCATAATGCACCAAATGCTGAAACAGGGCTAGTTTGATGGCCATTGTCTGTTACTTCAAGATCATCACATGCCCCCTTGGAGACAGGGGTTCGAGCCCTGGCTTGGCTGACTGTCTGTGCCCTTAACTACTTCATGTACCCCTCTCTATATCTGTTCTTACATCTGTCCTGTCAAAAGAAATTGACAGTAAAATGGGGATCAGAACTCAAATAAAATAAAAAACCATCAGAATGCTGATACATGTTCTTCTCAAATGGTTTCCCTGAATGGTTTGCAATGATGTATTTTCTGTTGCTGCAAGGTGATCTCTGAAACTACTTCAGGGCTAAGTGAAAGGCGGTGTTCCAAATGTAACTCCCTAAGTCCAGAGTCTCTTTATGGTAATGTGTCTCCCCCCTAGGATTGAGTCCAGTCTCCCCCCTGGGCAATGGGGGGGTTGGATTGAGGCCAGGAGGCTGTTTTTAGGTATTTCACGGAGAGGGAGGAGCCGTCTATCTATTTCGGTCCTCCAGCTCCCAAGTGGCTAATGTGTGGATAATGCAGAACCATAGCCACCCAAACCGACTCCACCTCTTTTGGGAGAGGGGAGGGTAAAGTTCATGAGAATGACGAGCCTCCCTACTAAGAAGCTGTCTGGATTCGGCTCCACGCAACTGTGGTCGATACAGTGTTCTCTCTGGGCAGATATATATTTAACCCGAGATTCTGCTGACTCCTGTTGGGTCAAGGGTCTCTGAAGTGCCTTATTTGGGTGTTGTAGTGTTTCACAAAAAATGCCAGGCATAAATAGAGGGGTACAATGTCTACAGACAGGAATGCTCAATTAGCTTGTCAATTACAGAGCGTAGAGTTGAGAACCAGCCAAATATTTCCAGCACGCAATTGTAACGAATTGTAACTCTGTTAATTGCACATTGACACAGCGGTGTCTCGGCTAAAGGGGCTCATTTACAAGATCCCTACACACGTGTGTGCCTGGGTGTGTATTGGATTCAAATCTCTCTGTCCTTGTTTCCATGCAGGTTAGTGAAGACTCAGATGACAGATGTAAGGACATGATATAGGGCTCATCATGGCGGAGCGACTCTTCCCTGACCTTCTTTTAACTTCCCAACTTCCGGATGTTCCGTCAGTGACCCACAGAGAGTCCCGGATTTCTGGACCCAATCTGGAATGCTGAGCTTGTTCCTGCACCCCTCAGACACAGGCAGAGATGCCCCTGTTCCAATCTCCTTTAAGAGTGGACCAAGCCTTTCAATCATCTTGGCTGTATTCACAATGCGTCTCTAAGTAGGAGTGCTGATATTATTTATTTTTCCTTTTAGATCATAATGAATAAGAAAACATGGACAGGGGGACCTGATCCTAGATCAGCACACTTAATCTGAGACGCTACATGATTACGGGCCCTGGCATTTTACTTACACCCCTGTACTGCTGCCCTATCCCTACACACAGCATCTTGCATTATGTACAGTATTATCTGTATAAAGAATAGATCATTTAAGTCCCTCAAAGCATGTTTTATGGACTGAATATCACAGTATTTCATTATTAGCTGCAGAATAATCTATCAATTATGACATCACATTTTCCTTTGTCATGTTACGGTGAGAATTATCAATCAGCACTGTCTCACGCTTGCCGGTTTCATTGACCCGTTGTTTGTCATGTTACGGTCAGAATTATCAATCAGCACTGTCTCGCCTGCTGGTTTCATTGACCCGTAGTTTGTCATGTTCTTTGTGTTGATATTATTAGTTGTTTTTTTCCCTAATTGTTATGAGTCAGGCTTTTTTAATTTATTCTCAATAATATAGCTACTCTTTTTAAAATAAAGTATTTAAAAATGGTTTGTAAATTGTTACAAGGTAATTCCTCTGTTACTTTATTACTTAAGTTTGTCTGTAATATCCATTTAGAATACTTAGTAACACTACAAATGAAGTTGCTGTTCTACCAGTGTAATAACACTAATTACTATAGTAACATTCTACCTATGTAATAGCACTAATTACTATAGTAACATTCTACCTGTGTAATAACACTAATTACTATAGTAACATTCTACCTGTGTAATAACACTAATTACTATAGTAACAGTCAACCTGTGTAATAACACTAATTACTATCAGTCTACCTGTGTAATAACACTGTAATTACTATAGTAACAGTCTACCTGTGTAATAACACTAATTACTATCAGTCTACCTGTGTAATAACACTGTAATTACTATGGTAACATTATACCTGTGTAATAACACTAATTACTATAACAGTCTAATAATTAGTAATAGCTGTGTAATAGTATAGTTTTGGAGTTGTGCAGGTTTTGTTATTACACAGGTGGATAAGCTGACTCACAGACAGGGAGCTAATGCACGGTGATCTAGTTCCCTTTTGACACCTTGCACCAAAGTTAATATAATTGACGACAGTCATTTAGTTCAATGACCATTTTCCCAATGCCGATCGGGACTTGTGAAATGGCAGGCTTCAGAATGTAATTGTGCCTCTCAGCTTAGATTGACCGTTTGCTGGAGCAAGATTGCTATATCATATTAATATGGTTCCCGAGACATGTAACACTTCTCCAGGCGCGACACGACTGCAGAAATTACAACCTGCAATGCCACCATTGTGTTGAGATGACTGACAGTAAATCCACTGATCCCCTCTCCTCAGGGTAGGACCGTTCTACTACAGTTTTCTGAAGATTATGACGCTCATCATGAGGAGAGAAGGCACTGCCAGTTACAGTACAGAAAATGCCCATCACTACTACATGTTGGTATGTCCTCTCCCCACCTTCCCTCTTGTCCCATTAATGTTACCCATGCGAGCATAGTACAGGATGACAATGGATGGCATTGTCTATATTTTTGTTCATTGACATGCTCCAACATTAGATTTAATTTTAGGCATATTTGTGGTCATGCTGAGGAATTGATGAGTATCCAGGTGAAATTTGCCTTTTAATCTCATTACTGTACTAGATATTTTCTGGTGGATGTTTTCCAAGTCAAACAATTCAGTAAAAAAAAGTAGTTTATTCATTGTTTTAAGCCTAGCACACAATATCAAAATGCAATCTGATCTCAGTATCAGTACCATTAAATGTGTAAAAGCGTCAACATTTAAGTTTGATCATACAAAATAACACTTAAACAAGAAAATGGTGACATTTTTAATCAGTTGGAGCTCGACATGAGCTCCCTCCTTACAGACTGTCTGTGATCTAGACACACTAGTCCTACTGGCTTTATTCCAAGTAATGTAGCCTCACATCAACATACTTCGCTTTAAAACCGACAAGTCATTATACTGACAGGAAGATTTTCCAAAGCTTTGAGTAAATCAAGACCTCAATGTTATGGCTGCAGTAAATTGTTATTGAGCTATACTTCACAATAACATTAACATTGACATTTTGTGTACTGCAGCTTACTTACACAATACCAGTGAATCATCCGGTGCTGGTAGATTATAACATTTCATGCATGCATCCTGTGGTTATGATCACTGTAATCGAAAGCATTGGCCCTGTTGTAGCTATTTGAAACATAATATTAATTATCTACGACTTATTGCATCTATGTTTTGCTTTTTTGCTCATTATTTAATCAACATTAGCCCTAAAGGTTGTCTTATTGTATTTTATGTGGAAATAAAACTTGTGCTTGTTAAAACATAATACTGACAAATAAAATGAACAACAGAAGACCATAACATAACACTCAACCACCCAAAAAAGAGAGATTTGACCATGAGAACATCCACATAAACGAAACGTTGACCTTCATTATCTACAGTATGTACAGAACGTTGTCACTGAGGTCAATGTGCTATTGAGGTCACTTTTGGGAGAATTTGATCTATGCCTCCTAGGGTTGGGTAGTGTCCAGATTTCCATACCTTCACACCGTTGCTGTACCACACCGGGGTATACGGTATTACCGGCAGTGCACAAAAGGAGCGCTATTTCTTTCCAAACTTAAAAAGATCCCTGCTGCCTAAATTAGCTTTGTGTGTTGTTTTTTTAAGTTTGGAAAGAAATAGCGCTCCTTTTCAGTTGTAACCAAGAAGCTTGATCTTGCAAGCTAGCCACTTAGCTAGCAAGTTAGCAAACCAAATGCATAGCTGGAGCCCTGAGCTGGAAATAATTCATTTGGCACATTTTAGATAGTTAACTTATAGTTAGTTACAAGCAGTGGCGTAGCACGCACCCTCCACGAGATGGTATTGAAAATCATACCGTCTGTATTTCAAAATACCCCGGTATACCACCTAAACCTAAGGCCGCCTGAGAGGAACCCTTGGCTGGGTCCTGGCGGTGCAAAGAGCAATAAGCTGAGACCAGGACTATCTAGTGCCATACTGTGTAGAAATACCTTTGGACAGTGATATTGTATTTCACAAACAGAGAGGACTATTTACTGCACATTGTTACTGCAAGACAAATCTGTTCACTCAGAGGGTTTTGTGCATTACCGTTCTAAAACTGAATTACGTTAATGCATGATTTGGACGCAATACTTTGTAGTGACTAAGGAATATATTAACATTAAAAAGTTTGAAAAGCATGGTGAATGCAAACTTTGGAAACAAAATAATTCTATATGTTTTATATTTGATAAAGAAGACCATATTCCCCATCTTATGTTTTTCATAAGTATTGCCCTCTATATCTATCAGGACCTGGCAGAAAAGCAGCGCATGTACTCCGTCATCCAGGGGTCAAAGTCAGGTTTGGTCATGGTCTCTTTCTCCAGCTCTGCAGACCGCACTCTCTGCTTGTCCACTTTCTGCACCTGCTTCTCAACCTCCCGTCTGGTTTTGGCCCGTAATGCAGACTGGTGGATCTGAGGACCACAGCATAAGAGTTAATGCAGACTGGTGGATCTGAGGACCACAGCATAAGAGTTAATGCAGACTGGTGGATCTGAGGACCACAGCATAAGAGTTCATGCAGACTGGTGGATCTGAGGACCACAGCATAAGAGTTAATGCAGACTGGTGGATCTGAGGACCACAGCATAAGAGTTAATGCAGACTGGTGGATCTGAGGACCACAGCATAAGAGTTAATGCAGACTGGTGGATCTGAGGACCACAACATAAGAGTTAATGCAGACTGGTGGATCTGAGGACCACAACAAGAGTTAGTGAAATGAAGTAAAGGAATACTATGGGTCGGTTACCGGAGATTCTCCATTGAATATTATTTTTAGTTCAGGACTATGTTTAATCTGGGTCCGAGAAACCGCCCCATTGACCTACTACACTGAATCAAACACTTGACAGACCTTTTGGAATTTGCATTAGTGAGTAATCACCTCCTTGGTTGATGCAGCTGGACCCACATTGTGAGTCTTCTTCCTAGCCATCTCAGCTGGCCTGTCACCCCCTCCATACAGGGCAAATGGGTGCCTGTTTTTCTTGTCAGTCTCTTTGGGCTTCCGTAGCTGGCTACATGCCCTGGGGGGCTTTCTGGACCGTTTGGCTGTAGTTTGGGCCTCTGGCTTCTTCCCTAACTCAGAGGCAGTTAATACTTGTCCCAGCTTCTCTTCCTCTGTCTCTCCACAGCCTCTGTCCACAGCAACCTGTACATCTAGGAAGGGATGAGGAATACTTATGAGTTCTATCATTTTATTAGTATACCTTTTAGTTTTTAATATGTGCAAGTGTTGTAGGAAGAAACAGTTAACAGACAGAGGGTGTGATACAAAAGGTTTATATCATGCCATGTTAACTTATCAGTTATAACATAAACAGTTGCATGAGAGTCCTATTGTTTAATTCTTTATTTGTTTTATTTTATTAACTTTATTTGACCAGGCAGGGACAGTCTACAACAAAAACATGAGTCTCTGGTAGCTGTTAACAGCTAATTTCCATCTGCATAAACATTGTTTTAAACATATCAAATATATTGGTGAAATTGTGCAAGACTGTGTAAGAAAATTACTGAGGATATATGGATAATGAAACAAACATTAAAAAAATTATATTCTAACTGATTGATAATAAACTGTAAACATTGACCTTAAAAATGCTTTACCAATGGGTGGCGAGGTCTGCGGAGAAGCAACTTCTTCATGCACTTCTTCTGAAATTGGGATCTTCTGTTCAAATGGTTGTTTAGGTGGAATCTTTCTCTCACGTTCTCGTTGTGATTCTTCTTTTAGGACCAATGGCTCAACTTTATTATTTTGAGGAGTGGACCTGCTGGATTCCGAGTCACTGTCACCGTTCCAAAACCACGGATTATGTGTTTGTTCCAAAAGCCTTCTCGTCAGTCTGTACTTTACCATCTCCTCATAACACTTGGCGTAGGTTTCCCATTTTGGGTCCTTGAATCTCTTCATATACTCCGTTCGGATCCTCTTTGTAACCATTCTTAATTTCCGTTTGTTAAGACCTTTCTCAAAAAGAAAATGTGATTGAATTAATTCCTGCCCTGTTACATTGTAAAAGTGTTACATAGTAGCGAGCAATACCAGACTATACCTAGCCTACTCATCCCGCGCCAGACATTTAAACGAAAACATAGGGGCTGTAGTACGAATCCTAGAGAAAAGACGCCAATAGCTGAACAGCTGTGGTGGTGTGATGCAAAGTTGACACACCCGTTAATGCGGCCGCCCTCTCAAAAAACGTCGTCATAAAGAGGACGTTCTTCAAACGACTCTTCTAGATGTTATGCCATAATATTTTCAGTGTAAGAGAAATTGGTGGTTTTATCATTAATTCTTATTTGAAGCTATAGCCAATTAGCCATAAAGCTTCTTGTAATTGTTATTGCATTGTATTCACTATTTAATTGATTATTAAACTGTTATGACATGATTATTATTGTAAATTAAGCTGATAATAGCATATCAATCTCCATATTCTATTGTCAGAATACACTAAGTAGGAAAATCAAACGACTATATAATGTAGATAATGTAGCCTGCACTGCAACGAATGCAAAATGTGCAAGAGAACTAGATTATGCACACTGTAGCCTATGCGATTTATTTCTCCACAGAACTATAGAATGTCTGAAAATGTATTGCAAATCGGAGGTTTGAACATTCTAATTTATTATACTTACAGCGTATAGATTTACTGGCTCGGATTTCACGGAAGCAAAACACAACAGATGGTGTTTGGTGTGCTGTAATCATAGGCTTGCTACGTCTAAGCCCCGCCCGTAGTTGAGATGCATTTAAAAGGCCAGTTCCTCCGAACAGGTGGCCGAATAAATGAGAATAGGGTGAGAATACACATTGTATAAAATGAGTCTGATCAGATACTTTTAAATAGGTGGTAAATGTTGGCTAGAATACAGGAATGTAGTTGCTCAAATTAATGTCTGCAGAATGCGCTGAGTAACACTACTCCCGGAGAGCTGGTGCGCAGGGTTTTGCTTCAGCCCTACTCTAACAAGGTCCTGATGAGCAGCCGATTAGTAACCTGCAACCAGTGTGCTAGATAGCTAGAGCAATGTTTGGTCAAAATCGTGGGTAGGCCTACCTGTCTTTTAAAAAGGAGGGATGGGGCGGGCGCTTTGAAGAGTTTGAAATGTGTGAGAGAGATTTGCCCAAAGCGGTGTTCAATTATTTCTAAAAATGCATTCTAAAAAAGGCTTCTTCATGGTATGTCCTTGGAATATGAGATTAGTGTAAAATCTGTGTTGCTGCGAAGTTTAAAGTTCGCGCGAAGGAGAGCATGCATGGCACATTCAAGCGAAGTAGTGGCGGAGAGTCACCTTTCACTCTCGCCAAGCCAAATCAAAGAGTAAAATCTCTTAGACTCCACGCAAGTCAGTTTGCATGAAGAAGTTTTATTGCGCGCGTAAACGTCCGAATGTGTGTAATTTGATAACAATGAATGTGGTTGACCTTTGTATTTCCAATAGCCTATTATCTCACAGTGCCATGCATTCAGAATGAAAATCCTAAATTTGCCATGCATTCGACCTGTGCATGTGCACGAGTAGGCAAGCCAATTGGTTTATTGCATGATGATCATGTTATGTGTTTTCTAACATAGGCTGATGATTATAAAACAGAAATGTATGAAAATACCAAATAATGGACTTTAATAACTTAGTATTTATGTACATTCACGTTCACATGTTGAATAATAACATGACATGTTTCGTTCTTGTTGATGTTGGTTGACATTTGAAGATTTTTTCCCCAGGTAACATGGTTACAAAATAATATTGTGACAAAAAAAGTCCAGTAACAACATGTTGTTCCTCTTCGCGATCCAGAGAAAGCGGAGACGATGAAAGGTTTAGAAGCACTTGCGGTGGACAATGCTGGGACCTGCCTCGTCATATTCCTGCTTGGTGATCCACATGGCCTGGAAAGTGGACAGGGAAGCCAGGATGGAGCCACCGATCCAGACAGAGTATTTACGCTCGGGTGGAGCGATGATCTATAGAGAAAGAAGTTGAGTATGAGTAAAAACATGACATATTAAGATGACATATTAAGATGTTATTGTTGAGATCTAAATGTTTATTATATTTTTTCAAAAAAGTGATATAAATGTCAGAATATTGTCATTGGGTTGTCGATGATATAATTACCTTGATTTTCATGGTGCTGGGGGCCAGGGCGGTGATCTCCTTCTGCATACGGTCAGCAATACCAGGGTACATGGTGGTACCACCAGACAGGACGTTGTTGGCGTACAGGTCCTTACGGATGTCAATGTCACACTTCATGATGCTGTTGTAGGCGGTCTCGTGAATACCGGCAGACTCCATACCTGTTCAGATCATATCGTATTAGAAACATCATCTCTTTAATTCGACCAACATAATAGGCATATAGATTAGCCCTACTCGTTATACGATGATTACATACCAATAAAGGAAGGCTGGAAGAGGGTCTCTGGGCAACGGAAACGCTCGTTACCGATGGTGATGACCTGACCGTCGGGAAGCTCGTAGCTCTTCTCCAGGGAGGAGGAGGAAGCGGCAGTGGCCATCTCGTTCTCGAAGTCCAGGGCCACATAGCACAGCTTCTCCTTGATGTCACGCACGATCTCACGCTCGGCTGTAATGAAGAAGTATTTTTGCTCAGAACATTGAACAAATTATTGCAATTATGCACAGCCAAATGCGCACGTCTTGTGCGTCTTTGCTCATTTGACAGATTACGCATGGCATTCTCATGGTGCGTAAAACAAGAAAAACGAAATCTCACCAGTTGTGACGAAGGAGTAGCCACGCTCAGTGAGGATCTTCATGAGGTAGTCAGTCAGATCGCGACCAGCCAGATCCAGACGCATGATGGCGTGGGGAAGAGCATAACCCTCATAGATGGGCACGTTGTGGGTCACACCATCACCGGAGTCCAACACAATACCTTGAACACAAACGAAAACGTCAATATTCAGTTGAATGAACTCATAATATTGAGACATGGTTGGCTACACGTAACCGATACGTTGTTTTAGATGAATTATTTATATGCATAAACGCTGCATTCCTTACCAGTGGTACGACCGGAGGCGTACAGGGACAGCACAGCCTGGATGGCAACATACATGGCGGGGACGTTGAAGGTCTCAAACATGATCTGGGTCATCTTTTCACGGTTAGCCTTGGGGTTCAGGGGGGCCTCAGTGAGCAGGGTGGGATGCTCCTCGGGGGCCACACGCAGCTCATTGTAGAAGGTGTGGTGCCAGATCTTCTCCATATCGTCCCAGTTAGTAATGATACCGTGCTCGATGGGGTACTTCAGAGTGAGGATACCTCTCTTGCTCTGAGCTTCATCTCCTACGTAGGAGTCCTTCTGACCCATACCGACCATGACACCCTAGAGGAAAGAGGAGACTCGTTGGTTTATATGGTGACGAAGCCTAATCCCAGTCAAAACATTACACGTAAACGCATAGATGGACAATACAGGATTTACAGGGGAAATTGCGTAATATGGGCCTGTTGCAGACGTCATTGGAGAGCAGATCTTACCTGGTGACGAGGGCGACCAACGATGGAGGGGAAGACAGCCCTGGGTGCGTCATCACCGGCGAAGCCAGCCTTCACAAGGCCGGAGCCGTTGTCGCACACAAGAGCGGTAGTCTCGTCATCGTCACACATCTTGGGTTCTTAATAATACACGTAAAAAAGTATGTTCATATTTCTGTATGGCACACGCACGCGCTACACATCACAGAACAACATAACGCAAGATGCACACCGAAACTGTCTAACGAATGATGTACTGTACAAGCCACAGATGACAGCTAACACACAGGACTTGTTGAGATAATCATAACATTTACTCATGCTACTATGTCGATATTGTGTTGAATTGAGTTTGGGCACAAGTCATTTGAGTTGTGTCAACATTAGATTCACGCATTGATGTTGTCGCCTGCTGGAAATGTTATCCTTATTGTATACCAATGTTATAGGCCTACACTCATTTTTTCTATGAGTGAAATTATCTCTCCATTGTTTCTCAACTCCATGAAACTCCTCCAACTTCTTTCACAACACAATGTCAAGGTAGCCAAGTCTATTAGGCTTCTACAGACAAGGGTTTACCAAGTAATCTGATAGAAAGGAAAATGTGTATTTTATCGCTGTTCTACCCTTCCCTAATTTTGTAGCTATACAATTCCATGAGTAATTTCTTCAGGTGAAGAGCCTGTGACATCACTATCAGTATATTTTGTAATATTAATTGGCCCCGCAGATGTCAAATAAAAAATGAGTATATCCATTGAGATCAATCCATGAATAGTAGATCCAGTCTGAGGTTTGAGTTGATTCCAGGTCCTTACCTTGTCTGTCTCAGATGAAGCTCAGAACGCGGAAAACAACTGCTGCTGGATCGAGCTACAGTGGCACTTCCAACCTTATATACTCACCGCGTTCGGCCTATTTCCCTTACCCACCATTGAGAATGTCTACGTATTCCATTGGACACTTACCCAGCCGTCATCCATATTAGGTTCTTCGGGGTGACAGGGGGAGACTTCGTAGGCAGGCTACAGGGCTCCCCGGTTTTGAAGTGAGCAGGGCTCTCCATGTATGGGACTGTGGTCCTGATTCCAAGCCACGGTGCCAGAGCCGTATATGGAGAGCCTGGGATTTGTAAGACACCCTCATGGCAAGCAAACTATAACTGCAAACAGGATCCCGGTTGGAAAGCCCTTCCCTTATCAAGGACCGCAACTTTATAGCCATATAGGAATGACAACACCAAGGAAGGAAGGTAGTTTACGTTCTTGTTCTGACATACTACTGCAGGTTGATAACAAAAATTGTAATGTTGCTTTGAGCTTGGAATTCCTTCCATATAATTTTATTGCAATTGCACAGCTGTTTTAACAATGGGTTGGTCTGTAATTTTTGCTAGTTGGATCTTTCCGATTTTACTCGATTTAGAATTCTAGACCACAGTGGGTTATCCAAACAATAACAGATGCCCCATTGACTCAGGCCTGTAGTAGCATACGTTTAATCAAACTATTTGCATGGTGCTAGTCGCATGCATGCAAAGTTATTTTTTGAAATGTTGATTTTGTGACAAGACCAAATAAATATATTATTATTCCATCAGCTGTACCCAGACCTCTTTTTGGCCATCAGTGTGTAGGTGTACCCAGACCTCTTTATGGCCATCAGTGTGTAGGTGTACCCAGACCTCTTTATGGCCATCAGTGTGTAGGTGTACCCTGACCTCTTTATGGCCATCAGTGTGTAGGTGTACCCAGACCTCTTTTTGGCCATCAGTGTGTATGTAGGTGTACCCAGACCTCTTTTTGGCCATCAGTGTGTAGGTGTACCCAGACCTCTTTATGGCCATCAGTGTGTAGGTGTACCCTGACCTCTTTATGGCCATCAGTGTGTATGTAGGTGTACCCTGACCTCTTTATGGCCATTGCCTGACAGATTCTCTGAAACAGATCATAACAGCTATACTATGCTGACTAAGCATGTTATGGTAAGCAGCATAGTAGGATATTTATTGTCTACTTAACATTAGGGTTGTAAAAAAAGACACGTTCCAGTAGGTGTAATAAATTTATTAAACAGTATATATATTTGAGACATTTCAAGACATAGTGGCGAGGTAATCTGCTCACAGCAATACCCCAGTCAAATAATTTGTTGACAGCCTGACCACATGCCATAATAAGCTATCCAAGAATCTCATATCCAACCTTAGAATGCTGTGTTTAATGAAAATGAATAGCTGCTGAGCAATCTTATTTTTTTATTTATTTTTTTATTGTTTTTATTTATAAAATTTTTTTTTTTTTTTTTTTTTTTTTTTTTAGTCATTTAGCAGACGCTCTTATCCAGAGCGACTTACAGGAGCAATTAGGGTTAAGTGCCTTGCTTAAGGGCACATCGACAGATTTTTCACCTAGTCGGCTCGGGGATTAGAACCAGCGACCTTTCGGTTACTGGCACAACGCTCTTACCCACTAAGCTAGACTTTTCCATTGAAATACTGTGAAAATCAGTCCTTCCATTAACTTGGTCTTATGTATTGTGTTGTACAAAATAAATATAGCATTTATTTGAGTAATTCTACAGCTGAGGCTGGTTTAGTTTGAAGGGTCTGCGATCCCAGCTGCTGCCACTCAACTGTCTGCCCCAGCAGGTGATGCCCCAGTTTAGCCACTCAGAAGACCAATCCAGCCTGGGCTAGAGAACCGTACACTCAAAAAAAGTTAGAAATAAAACCAAAAAGGGTTATATTGCTTGTTAGTATATTGTGTATTAAGGCACCCCTAAAGGTTTTTATATAGAACCCCAATTAACCCTTTTTCTTGAATAGCCTAGAACTTTTAGGGGTGCCATATATGAAGCAAGTATCTTTTTTCTAAGAGTGTAATAGGGCCAGAATTCAATCCGATCACCTAATTTTATTTTATTTTGTTTTATTTAACCAGGTAAGCCAGTTGAGAACAAGTTCTCATTTACAACTGCGACCTGGCCAAGATAAAGCAAAGCAGTGCGATAAAAACAACAACAACACAGAGTTACATATGGGATAAACAAAACATACAGTCAATAACACAATAGAAAATCTATATACAGTGTGTGCAAATGTAGTAAGTTATGGAGGTAAGGCAATAAATAGGCCATAGTGCAAAATAATTACAATTTAGTATTAACACTGGAATGATAGATGTGCAGAAGATGATGTGCAAATAGAGATACTGGGGTGCAAATTAGCAGAATAAATAATATGGGGATGAGGTAGTTGGGTGGGCTAATTACAGATGGGCTGTGTACAGGTGCAGTGATCGGTAAGCTGCTCTGACAACTGATGCTTAAAGTTAGTGAGGGAGATAAGAGTCTCCAGCTTCAGAGATTTTTGCAGTTCGTTCCAGTCATTGGCAGCAGAGAACTGGAAGGAATGGCGGCCAAAGGAGGTGTTGGCTTTGGGAATGACCAGTGAGAAATACCTGCTGGAGCGCATACTACGGGTGGGTGTTGCTATGGTGACCAATGAGCTAAGATAAGCCGGGGATTTGCCTAGCAGTGATTTATAGATGACCTGGAGCCAGTGGGTTTGGCGACGAATATGTAGTGAGGGCCAGCCAACGAGAGCGTACAGGTCACAATGGTGGGTAGTATATGGGGCTTTGGTGACAAAACGGATGGCACTGTGATAGACTACATCCAATTTGCTGAGTAGAGTGTTGGAATCTATTTTGTAAATGACATCGCCGAAGTCAAGGATCGGTAGGATAGTTAGTTTTACAAGGGCATGTTTGGCAGCATGAGTGAAGGAGGCTTTGTTGCGAAATAAGATGCAGATTCTAGATTTAACTTTGGATTGGAGATTGTCATGGATTCAGCCGAGGCTGCTCCTCCTCCTTGCTCGGGCAGGCTTCAGCGTTCGTCGTCCTCGGAGTACTAGCTGCTGCCGATCGATGTTTCGGTGTTTGTCTTGTTTGGTCTTTATTGTTTACACCTGTTTCCCATTATGTTTTATTGTGTTCCCTTTATAACCCTCTGTTTCTCATTGTGTATTGTGCGTAATTGTTTTGGTCTTTGCGGCAGTTGCCCATGTGTGCGGGTCTTATTATTTCCTCGCTGTTTGAGGTTGCCTGTGTACTTTGTATTTTGCACTGCATCCAGTAAAGTTTCTGCCAGTAGCTCGGTGTCCTGCTCTTGACTTCGCCTACCGCATACACGTCGCTGTGACAGAATTACGCACCTTTAGACATGGAGTCAGCAGGAGCGGCGGTGCCAGCTGGATCAATAGAAGAGCGCGTAGAACAACAAGCGGCTATGATCCAGGCTCTCGGCACCGCCATGGAACAGGTGGTGAAAACCGTGGAGCGATGGGAAAGAAGAAGTTGGTCTACACCTCCTCCGACGATACCACCACCATCAGCTATGCCCATCGCTTCATCTCCGGGGTCCAGTGGGATTTGGCTCTCGCTCCCGAGGGCTTATGATGGCACAGATGCCGGGTGTCAGGGTTTCCTGCTACAGGTGGAACTCTACCTGGCAACCATCCACCCGGCGCCCTCGGGATATGAGAGCGTGTCCACCCTCATCTCCTGTCTGTCCGGCAAGGTGCTGGAGTGGGCCAACGGCGAGTGGGGGGGAATAGACGCCGCTACAGTCAACTATGCGGAGTTCACCCGCCGCTTCAGGGCAGTATTCGATCATCCACCAGAGGGTAAGGCGGCGGGTGAACGTCTATTCCACCTTCGACAGGGGAGGAGGAGCGCGCAGGAGTTCGCACTGGACTTCCGGACACTGGCTGCCAACGCGGGATGGAATGAGAGGGCCCTCATCGACCACTACAGATGTAGCCTGAGGGAGGACGTGCGTCGGGAATTGGCCTGCAGGGACACCAACCTAAACTTCGATCAACTGGTGGACATGTCGATTCGCCTGGACACCCTGTTGGCTACCCGCGGACGTCCGGACTCGGGGCCATCCATTCCATACCCCAGCACTTCCGAGCCGACCCCGATGGAGCTCGGAGGTGCTGGTACTAGGAGAGAGACCAGGAGAGAGGCCGTCCCCTGCACCAACTGTGGCCGCAGAGGATACACTGCTTGTCGGTGCTGGGGAGGGTCTCCTCGGAATCGAGGCAGTAGGCCGCGCACTGA